ATCTCGCCCATCAAATCATGTCAATCCAACGACCTAGACTGCTTCAATGTCGAGCGCTCAACATGTTTAGCGTGCAGTTAATTTCATGCCAAAAAATAATACTAATCACATAATAACACAAAAATAATATCATACTTAATATCCGCATGCACTTAATATACTTTTAATTTAAGCATTACACATACATATTGACTAGATTTCTTAAAAAGCAAAAACGCACTCTTAATCAGCTCATCATTGATCGGGGTGGGAATAGAATACCAATAACAAGTTAAAACGAAAATGTAACTACGTGCTAAACCAATTTGTTATGAGGCAACTAAATCGGAGGTGAAAACAGAAGCCCACGCCCGAACTCCCATCTAGGGTTTCCTTGCCTCTCGTCGGCGCCGCCGGTCCGCCTTATCTTTTATGGTCCTCGGATCATGGAGGCACGGTGGATCCCGGCCCTTGCCGGCGGGAGGGCTTCGTTTTTAGATGCTTTTCTGAGTTTTGTTAGGGTTTGTGCCATGCTCAAGAAGATGAGGCGGCGGCGTCTTCTTGAAGATGGAATAAGGTCCTCCCCGCCTAGCCCCTGTCCCGGTGATGTTTCAAGCATCATCGAAAGGCGTGTGGAGGTTTGTCTCCGGCGGATCTCGTGGGATCCGGTCGATGTTTGTCTTTGGTGGATCCAACTGGATCTGGTCTTTGTTCGTCTATGTGTGAGTGTCTGCAGGTTGGATCCTTCCGGTCTATGCTTCTCTTCATCGGCGGCGGTTGTTGTTCTGGTGCGCTGGTAGCACGACGACTTCCCGACTGTCTACTACAACAATGTTTGCCCGGCTCCGACGAGGGAGGGGCGATGACGGCGGCGCGCCTTCGGCTCGCTCTAGTGATTGTAGTCGTCGCTAGGTGGTCTACGGACCTGGATGTAAATTTTACTTCTAGTGTTCTTTGTACTACCTTGACAGTTGATGAATAGATCGAAAGTTTTCACGCAAAAAAAAAGTTCAAACGAAAATGTGATGCCCTAAATATGCTTAAATACCGTCCCAATGTAAGATATGTAACCTCTAGTAGTTAAATAAATGATCAACCGCCCTGCCCCAGCTCCGACGTCGAAGAGGAAGAGCCTCCGCCGTAGTAGTATGCCGGGTCGGCGAGCAGGTCGGCGATGAGCTGGTCCACGCCCATCTTTTTGTCGCTGTCCAGCATCGCGTCGATGAACGCTGACGCTGCGCTATCCTCCCCGCCCCCGCCGACACCATCGGCTGCAATACTATCAGTGTCTCCATACGCTGCTCCGCCACCAGCCACCGCGGCCTCCTGGTACTGACCAAGAACCACCTGCGGCGCCGCCTCGAAGGCGGCGGCGTCGTCGGCAAGGAAGTCGCTCCACTTGAGCTGGTGGTCCGGGGACGCCGCCGCCCCTGGCGCGTCGGGGTCGAGGAGCGTGATGACCTGCTGCTGGTGGTGGTTCAGGACTGCGTGGTATTTGACGTCGTCGTGCAGCGGCTGGAGCCCCGGCGCCGCCGCTGGGTTCACGGGGATGTAGGAGGACGAGGAGGCACCCGCGGCGCTGGGCGGCGGGCGGATGGCGAGGGTGCCGATGCTCTGCATGAGGTCGGCGATGGGGCGATGGGTGATGGGGTCGATGCCCCGCTGCCGCAGCTTCTTGCTCAGCTTGGTGTTCCAGTAATTCTTGACGTCGTTGTCCGTCCGCCCCGGCAGCTGGTTCGCGATCAGAGACCACCTGCATGCACCCAACACGTACACGTACTTTCATGTTATATTACGCTCAGTGTGGAGTATTTTCTGTCAAACACTATCAATTTAAGACAGCTATTCAGATCTGTTCTTCACCCAATATTCAGCTTTTCACTACATTCTACCAGGAAACAGAATATATTCAGAAGAACCGTAGACACGAGACTGGTTACTGGATTAAACTACATTTGTTTCTACTTTATGAATGAACGGCTGAAGTAAATTCTTGAATAGAAGTAGGACGTGATTTCCGGTGTATGAGCAATTGTCTGAATGATACACCAACGTGAGGTTTTTAGAATTCCATAAATCTATAAGATCTGAACGTACGCTAGAGTATATGGATGCAAAGTTTATAGCAGGAATGATGACAGAAACAGTAGTCTGTCCATAGCAAAGTTTCGCATTCACCGAAAACTTGATGACAAAATCGAGAAAGTAACCGATGGATGACATGCATGTACAGAGATGCACCTGCTTCCCAGCATGGCATGGAGGGTGACGATGAGCTCCTCCTCCTCCTGCGTGAAGTTCTCGTGCTTGAGGTTGGGCCTCAGGTAGTTGGTGTACCTCAGCCTGCAGCTCTTCCCGCACCGCTTCAGCCCTGCAGCACGCACCCATCCATGACGCAACACACATCAGCCAGAAACCATGCAAAACCAACACCATTTCGATGCCAGACGCCGATCCGGCCGGCCGGGGGAGAGGGTTCCGACCTGCCCTCTGGGGAACAGAGGTCCAGTTGCCGGTGCCATGGTTGGAGGTGTAGGCCAGCAGCTTGGCGTCCTCCTCCGCCGTCCACGGCCCCTTCTTCACGTTGGCCTTGTCGCAGCACGGCGGCCGCCCCATCCCGGCCGGCACCACCCTCCTCCCCCTCCCCTTCTACAACAAGCAGCCAAACGGTGATAGATAATATAGCTCGAGAACCCCAGCACCGCACCAACCTCCGGTGCCCCCCGACGAGATCACACTGCAGGGTGGCACCGGCGTACATATAGGGGGCGGGGCGCTCCGGCGAGAGAGAGAGGGGCACTGCACGGCAACAACATGTCCAGATGGTGGAGGGGCACGCGACGGAAGCATGACCTCCCCCCTCCTCATTTAACTAGTGATGGCATGGCATGGGTTAGTGACGATCCGATGGAAACGCTTCTTTAACCCTAGTTTATGGCACGCCTGCAACTGTTTCCCTCCGGCAAATCAACCGCTTAATCAGGGAGGGATCAAATATGTATGCAGATGCGGGTTGGTGGGTTAATACAATCCGATCTAATCTAATCAAACGCCGTGTGTGAGGGTGGAGGGGCCGGGGGCTGTTTCAAATATTTTCACGAGTTGGACATGATGATTTTCACGACATCAGCGCCGCGGAATCGGTTTTCACCTGGGAGCTGGCGATGCGATCATATCACAGGCGCCTCTGCTCATCGCGTTTGTACGATCGTCTTGACAGTTGTGTTGGCGCCGCACATGTGATCCTTAACAGTTGTGGTATTACAAGGAGAAAATGCATGCTGTTTTCAGCGTCTCGTGTTTTTTTTAATGCCTTTTTCAGCGTCTCGTGTTGGTTTCAGAGAAGAAGCACCGAGCATTTCTGGTGTGGCGTTAACAGTTTGTACTACTTGTTCTTATGGTTCGTCAGGTAAAAAGCTTCGTGTAAAGGAAAGTGTGTAGATGATCAATATTTGGAGGAGAACAGAAAGTAGAGTAAGCCATTCGCGAAGAGAAAAAAGAAACGAAGTTCAATCCAGGAAAATAAACAGATAGAAATATCAAATCCAAAAGAAAAATTCAAAAAATCATATCAGAGCCAGGTTTCGAGTTGTGGTATTACAAGGAGAAAATGCATGCTGTTTTCAGCGTCTCGTGTGTTTTTTTTGAATGCCTTTTTCAGCGTCTCGTGTTGGTTTCAGAGAAGAAGCACCGAGCATTTCTGGTGTGGCGTTAACAGTTTGTACTACTTGTTCTTATGGTTCGTCAGGTAAAAAGCTTCGTGTAAAGGAAAGTGTGTAGATGATCAATATTTGGAGGAGAACAGAAAGTAGAGTAAGCCATTCGCGAAGAGAAAAAAGAAACGAAGTTTAATCCAGGAAAATAAACAGATAGAAATATCAAATCCAAAAGAAAAATTCAAAAAATCATATCAGAGCCAAGTTTCGATCCAGGAAAATAAACAGATAGAAATATCAAATCCAAAAGAAAAATTCAAAAAATCATATCAGAGCCAGGTTTCGAGTTGTGGTATTACAAGGAGAAAATGCATGCTGTTTTCAGCGTCTCGTGTGTTTTTTTTTTGAATGCCTTTTTCAGCGTCTCGTGTTGGTTTCAGAGAAGAAGCACCGAGCATTTCTGGTGTGGCGTTAACAGTTTGTACTACTTGTTCTTATAGTTCGTCAGATAAAAAGCTTCATCTAAAGGAAAGTGTGTAGATGATCAATATTTGAAGGAGAACAGAAAGTAGAGTAAGCCATTCGCGAAGAGAAAAAAGAAACGAAGTTTAATCCAAGAAAATAAAGAGATAGAAATATCAAATCCAAAAGAAAAATTCAAAAAATCAGATCAGAGCCAAGTTTGGATCCTGGGACCTATGGGTTATGGGCCCACCACACTTCCGCTGCGCCACTCTGATTTTGTGTTCAACTTACTTCCGTGCTTTACTTATCTTATGCTTCCAACGCTGAGAACCGAGAAATGCTTCCAAAGCAGCTACGCTGCAGCATCTCTCCTGTGGATACACATGGCACCAGCAATACGAGCATCAGATGCAGCACCACACAGAGTTGCACTTCCCATTCCCGGGACACGTGAAGACCGACCGACCCCGACGCCCAGTTCCCTCCCATGGAGTAAAGTATAGTTTGGACGCTCCACTCTCCGTCCCATGCATCCCAACCGACAGCCCCTGCGATCCACCGGCCACCGCGCCCTGGGCACGTCGCTGCCTCCGGGCCCCGGCCGGAGGTTTCGCGTGCACAAAATCGAGAAGCGGAAAAACAAAAGCGCAGCCCACAAAGCGACCTTAAAAATATCGCGGCAACGGCCGGCCAATCCCCGCGCGCCAGGCTACGCGTCCCCAGGCCGAGCACGCGAGGGGCCGCCATGGTGGCCGTCTCCGGAGGACGCGTGTGCGCCAGCCGCCAGCCGCCTATATATCCCTCCTGCGGCACGGCTCCTGGAAGATAATACCTGATCTGTTCCTGCCTTTCCTGCAGTAGTAGCGCACACACTTTGGTGAGCTGAGTACTGAGTTGGTGATGGAGGATTCGGTGGGCGAGGCGGAGAGGAGGGAGCAGGAGGAGGCCATGGCGCAGGGGAAGAAGCGCGGGCGAGAGGAAGAGCAGGAGGCCGGCGTTGGTCGCGCGGTGGAGGGGAAGGCGGAGGTGGCGGTGGCTGAGGAGGGCGGGTTTCTCAGCAGCATGGCGTCCAAGATCGGCGTGGCCATGTCGGGTGCTAACGGGAGCGGCGGCGCTGGGGACACCGGCGAACGCAATGGCAACGGCAACAGGAGCGCGCTTGCTGCCTCTGACGGCAACGGGGAGAAGGCGGCCGGCAATGGCATCTTCCACAAGCTGCTGTCCAGCTCGTCTCCCTCCCCGCCGGCCACAGGTAAGTTACCGCGCTTTAGTTAACCTTTGCCGCGCAGCCTCTGCAACTTTGGTTGACAGTCTTCCGTGGAGCAGAGGAGGAGAATAGGGGAGGGAAAGACGAGGACGAAGGCGGCGAGCAGGCCGGGATACTGAGCGCCATGGCTTCCAAGATCGGCATGGCCATGTCTGGCAATGGGACCCACGGCGGCGGCGGGGAAGATGTTGATCACGGTATAGGTGAGGACGAGGACAAGGAGAAGGAGACGGGAGGCGACGAGCCGAGCTCCAACGGCGGTGGGCTCGTTAAGCAGATCATGTCCAACCTCCCCACTTCAGGTGCACTGCCGATCTGCTATTCTCAGTTCCGCCATATCCTTGTGTGTTGCCTCCATTGTTTCAGCTGACAGGATTTGTTCTTCTCTCTGCTTTTGCCTTCACTGCAGAAACTAGGGGGCCCGATGCTGAGGAGGCCTCCCTGCTCATCTCCATCATCGACGACTAGACTAGCAGTAGCTAGATTTGGCACTTGTCATTTCTGGGTGTGATTTTACATCGCCCAGCGTGCCCTCTTTCTTGATGCTGATGTTGTAACCTCTAGGGTAGGGTTGCTGTTGGTAGACGTTTTCTTCTAGACACAAGTCACTGCACATGTTTGCACAGTGTACTGGCCTGTAATCGCATTGACTCCTGGAGAGAACTGGTCCTCCTCGCTTATTATTTGCTATAATAATGCTATTATTACTTTGTCAGCCTATCAGGCTACAAGACCAGGCAGGTTTGAAGTCATTGCAAGACCAGGCAGGTTTGAAGTCATTGCTGTGGTATGCAGACGGTAAGACTAGCCACAATGGGTAGTAACATAGACTAGTAACATGCATATGTTACTAGTCTATGTTATTATCTCTATTGTGCGAAGTAACATATGTATTGTAACATACAACACTTTATTTATGAGTCTATAGACTCATCTTGTCTTGATATGTGTGATGTTACTCATACTACTAGTAAGACTAGCTACAGGGGGAGTAACTTCAGCAGAACATCAAGTCCAACTCAGCAATTTTGTTTATGTGGCAATGAGTTAATGAAGAGAGATAGTTGTAGTAACTTAGCTAGTTACTGTAACATCACATATCCCAATGCAATACGAGTCTATAACCTATAAATGAATCTTTGCACTATGAAGATAGTAACATAGTCTAGGGATATGTGTATGTTACTATCCATTGTGGCTAGTCTAACTAGCTATATTACCACTCCCCTCTTTTTTTCAATTATTGTTTGCCACATCATCTATTTTATATAGATATGTGTGATATTACTATTTATGTTACTTCCATTGTGAGTAGTCTAAGCACAAGTAAAAAAGTCAAATAGAGTTCTCTGAAACCATTCAAAACAATGGACAACAGACACAGATACAAGCCACATATGTTAAAGCGACTTCTCTGAAGCAAAGATATAAGATACACCCCTGCTAGTGACGGCACAGATGAAAGCAGAAGTTTTAATTTGCATTTGAACTACATATTCCCCTTACCGCAGTGCTGTCCCCAAAATCGTATCGTCATGGCATTTGGCAGAGCAAAATCCTGGGAGGAAGAAATGCAGCTAGCTACGAGATTGCATAAGTCAAAATGCGTATACCACATGCCATGACATCAAACAGGCTACAGACTGGAGAAACAATATAGCTACTCAGTATGATGGATAGTCGCAAGACGTAAAATTTAGGTCACACCATCTCTGAGTACATACATGCCAACGACTGAATATTGCAAAATAAACTAAAAGTTCTTCGGCCAATGCTGAGTCCTGCTAATGCTTGCTAGAAAGACGCATCACTCAATTTATAGGATGCAACGTTTCCATCACCGATTCAGTTATATCGCTCCATGAACTTCTCAATCGCCACAGAGAAGGCACCAAAACCCACGCACCCGATACATGTAGCTTGAGGGCCACCTGCAAGAAAAATACCAATTCCATTACGGATGAAATATCAAATTGAACTGCATAACCAACAACAGCATAAGAACTTGCTAGTGGTGCTAGAGTGCTTTCCTAATTGTAATCCACAGTGTCGTTGTCATTATTATTATGATTTACTGCTTTATTAGCTGAATCAAAAGTGACAAAAAAAAGTTTCAAAATAAGCAATCACAACTTTGGTTAAGCACTTAATGAATCAAGGGGTAGACAAGGTAAGTGGTCAAAACACCACAACAGACTGCTGACCTGGCACAGGAACTACATCATGAGTATCTCTAAATTCCCAAATACAGACAGACATATAGCATTGGTTAAACTATCTGAAATCTCATATCAGAGAATTTGGGACACAAACTGCTGGCCTGGCAAACTGACTACATGATGAGTACAACTGCCCTTCAACTTGCCCTAGTAGAACCAAACTACTTTTAGAGTGAGGTTACTTCCTTTCTTACATCCAAATAAAACGTCGGCCCATCCACCCCAAGCCAACCTAAAACATCTCTAATGATTGCAGATAGGGAAATTCTCTTGGGAGCATAAATTGATCCATGGTAAAAATTAATGTTGGTTCTCATCAACAGTTGTCACAAAGAAAAACACACCTTTTGCAGCTAAAGCTCCTCCTGTGACACAGCCAGCTACTGCTGAATTGGTGATGTCATGCTTTGCCCGAGCCTGCCAGGACGTGACGATTCAAAGTGTCCAAATAAGTAAAAATAAATACAGAATTGCTCATGAATGGAAGAAAAAAAATGTCACACTGCATCTACCTTCTCAACGACGCATTCAGCTGCAGAGAAAATCAAGCCCATTACTGCAAAGGTCTTAGCATGGCTCATACTTTTCCTACCCATCTGTTTTGCCTGGTAGACTATTTGTTGCCTTGCTGTCATCTCCTCTGCCATTATTGGATTTTCCAAAGCTCCAAAAAATAGTCCCATAAGTACACCAAGACCACCCCCTATTGAATGAAAGCTACGCAGTTAATAACAGCTATGCATACTCCATAAGTCCATTTAATGAAACATTATGCACTTGTAAGTGGGCCCCTTGTGGGATAAGCCAATAGCTGATACTCTAAGCTGTTTAGCTTGACGCCAAATGATTAACAAGCAGAGAAGCACAAGTCATCAGGCAACAACTTAACATGACTTCTAAGTTAGTATAGGACGGAGTATCCAGCCACTGATTGTTGGCTGTTGTCTTAAGGATACCAAATGTCAAACTATAGGAAATAGTGATACTTTGGTAATACATACAATAGAGTGCATAGTATCAATATCACTGATTCTATCCTCTAAACCATCAACAAACAAATCATTAAACAGGGCAAAAACAGAAAATAGATACTTTAACATTGCAGGCCTTTGCCATGTTCCAGATTCATGACAATGTCAGCAAGCTGTTGGAAAACTACATATATTGCACAAGTGAAATGTTACTAGTAATCACACGTGAACGCGTGCGCACACACACAATGTTATGGCATGCACTTATTTACAGTAACTATATACTGGGGGAAAAATGTTAGGTAGGAGCACTAGATCCAATGTTAAGTTTCTTCATTTGAAGCAGAAACAACAGAAACATGAAATGAATGGATCAGAGCAAACTTTTTTTACGAGACAACTGGAAGAACCAGACACGCTCTGACCGATTTTATTCACTCGGCAAAAACTGTACAATCAAGCATGCAAACAGGGGAAGGCACATACCCAATGCTAAAAGGAATAACTGATAGCCGGAGGTGGGGGAGGGTGGCAGAAGATGAAAAACTACTCCATTACATGACTGGTGGGTACACCAGGAGGTAAGATGGCAAACATCCAAGGCAGAGGTAACACAAACCTTCCAACGGTCAGATTGGTTGCGAATAAGGCTAGGAAAGCCCACAACATCAGTGTTGACATGATCAAACACCAAGCTGTTACCAGGATGGCCGCGATGTATGTCTATCACATTATACTTCTTGCAGCACTGACATGAAAAGGATTCAGAGAGGTGCACCGCCAAACAGTAACCTTTCTAATGCAGTACAACAATATTTTCAAACTATTTAACAAAAAAATTGAACCACTGTCAGACCAACCTTCAATAACCGTCGACCTTGCTATTTTCCGCAAATCACGTGCTATGCCTATGACACAATGCTTGTAGCTACAATGGAAAACGATCGTGCATTGTTAAGGAACACCTTTCTAATGCTCTACCAAAACCCCTTTTAGACTACTTGAAACTTTATCCAACCACTTTCCGAATACTTGGCCACCTGACATGTGGAGACTCTCAATCTTAAAGTCTTTGAAAGGTAATGTGTTAAGGACTGGAATTTAATTGGGTTGATTTCATGACCCTAACTTTACTTGATGAATCACTACAAAAACTTAGACCCCAACTCTCCCAGGCAAGTTCACTTGAAACAAAGGCACGACCCTAAAAAAAGAACTTGAAACAAAGGCATCTTCATTATGCATTATGACATGCCATTTCACATGAAGGATCATCGAACAAGAGCAAAGAGTTTATTGTTATTACCACCAAAGATTTTGAGCAGCTAAAGTAACTAACTAACAGTAGACAGTTCTGCAGGTGAGTACAACCGAATCAACATATGAACATAGTTAAGTTCGTACGCGCACTTGCTCAAAATAAAATTAAGCTCATCTCCTGCAGAGCTGGCACCGTTTTATTTGTAACTCTTCAGGCAAACAGGTGAAGAACTAACCATCTAAAGCATGAACAACCACATCCATGTTACATGTCACACCATCCAGAAACTCTGATTGCATGGCATTTGAACAAGATCATGGAGACATGTTAACTCGGCATTTCAGCATAATTCAATTACAGAGTTGTATGCGCCGCAGTGGCACAAATATGGTTTTCTCCAAATACTCAGTAACTGAATAGCATCAAGAGATTTGTGTTTGAGGTGGTGAGTAACATTACCCATGACACCGCTGAGGACGCTCCGGACGGCGCAGTTGTTCATCATCTCCTGCCCCTTGATCTCCTCCGGCGTTGGCAGCCGGAGCGGCTCCACTGGAGCCCTCTGGCCGGCCGCATCGCCGCCCGCCCCGGCCGCCGCCGCCGATGGCTCCGGCGAAGACATCTCACAGTCTGATCTCCCTCCCCCTCCCGATAGCGCGACGGCGGAGCTAGCTGCGGGCCGTGGGAACCACTGGAAAGGCAATGAAGGGGATTGGAGAAGAAGCCGAGCCGAGAAGTTCCTCAGGGCTCGCTACTCGTCCTCCTTCCCTTGGCTTTCTTTTCCTCCCCTCCAAGAAAAGGGGCGGCGGTAAGGGAAGGGGATCCCGGTGGGGGTGCACTGGTGCGTGCCTCTTCCGGTCTTCCCACTCCCCGGAGCTCGCGTGAGGCGCACCATCTCTGCTCTCCGCTACCCGAACACGCACACGTATTTTCAAGAGTACGCTACCCTAGGATGCAGGCGTATTGTCAAGACTACGCTACCCGGTTCCAGTACCTGTGTGGCGCGTGTGGGGGAGACCGGGAGAGATATCGGATCCATCGGAATCGGATCGGCTCACTTGATATCCGATCCACCAAGGGAGTACAACAAGCAGCATTCTCTGACTGCCGCCCCCACCCCCTCCCCCAACCAAAACCCAAGCAAACCCTAGATCCGCCGCGGCCCCCTCCAACTCCGGCGACGCCCTCCACCCGGCAGACGGAGAAGATGCCGAACCTCGAGTGCCGGATGTACGAGCCGCGGTTCCCGGAGGTGGACGCCGCGGTGATGATCCAGGTCAAGCACATCGCCGACATGGGCGCCTACGTCTCCCTCCTCGAGTACAACAACGTGGAGGGCATGATCCTCTTCTCCGAGCTCTCCCGCCGCCGCATCCGCTCCATCTCCTCGCTCATCAAGGTCGGCCGCCAGGAGCCCGCCATCGTGCTCCGTGTCGACCGCGACAAGGGATACATCGACCTCTCCAAGCGCCGGGTCTCCGAGGAGGAGGCGCGGTCCTGCGAGGACAAGTACAACAAGTCCAAGCTCGTGCACTCCATCATGCGCCACGTTGCCGAGACCCTCGAGATCGACCTCGAGCGCATCTACCAGCGCATCGGCTGGCCGCTATACCGCAAGTACGGCCACGCATTCGAGGCCTTCAAGCTCATAGTTGCTGACCCCGACGCCATCCTCGATGTGCTCACCTACGAGGAGAGGGAGACCGGCCCTGACGGACAAGAGGTTACCCACCAATTATCATGATTTTTCCTTTCGTAATTCTGATTTATGCACTACGATGCCCTGACGTGATTAAATGCATTCACTAATAACTACGCCGTGCTTAAATGATCTTGTCATGTGAACTTGTGCGTGATGTCAGGTAAAATGTGCTGAAGTTTATGGATAACATGTTCTCGTTCTGTTGAATGGGCACCATAGAAAGGTTTGGTACTTGCGAGTTTATCTGAGGTCAAATGGACCAAATGAACTTTTAGTGCAACTAATCACTGAATGTTGGAATGTACCAATAGATTAAATTTGTCTTGTCGAGTCTAGTTCTAAGGTCTAACGAACAATTGAATGATATTTCAAGTGATGTGAATAAATTACCCCTGGAATGTGTTCTGATATTTACTCCCTCCGGTCCTTTTTACTCCGCACATTAGCTTTGTCTGAAGTCCAAGTTTGCTAAGTTTGACCAAATTTATATTAGAAAATATTAACATCTATAACATCTAATAAATATAATATGAAAATATATTCCGAGATGGATCTAATAATAAATGTGTTGTTATGTGAATGTTAATAATTTTTTGTATAAACTTGGTCAAAGTTGGATGAGATTGACTTCAGACAAACCTAATATGCAGAGTAAAAAGGACCGGCGGGAGTACGATCGACATAATTAAGTTTAGAGTTTTTGCCAGAAAATGAAAGTGATACTTAAATTTACTGGCAGGTGACTAAGGTGGTGCCTGCTGTCACCCCTGAGATTAAGGAGACCCTGGTCCAGAATATACGGAGGAGGATGACACCGCAGCCACTCAAGATCCGTGCTGACGTCGAGATGAAATGTTTCCAATTTGATGGGGTGCTCCATATTAAGGTTCTAGTTAACCCTGTTTCTGCCTTGGGATATAATTGAACACTTTGGGTTGCTTATTCAGTTGTTCTAAATTTGATATTGCAGCAAGCCATGAGGAAAGCTGAAGCTGCTGGGAACACTAATTGTCCTGTGAAGATTAAGCTGGTTGCTCCTCCACTTTATGTTCTGACTACACAAACTCTCGACAAGGTTGGTGTCTTCTTCAGCCTCTTTCCATGATTCATGTTGGCTTTGACTCTAGGTATCCTGCTCGATTGATTAGATTATTTGATTCTTATTTAGAAGGATGCTCCTAATTTGACATAGAATTTAAGATTTAACAATTGCACTGCGCCTTTAGCACATTGTATTTTTCTTGATTGATTAGATGGTCAAATTTTCATTATTTAGAAAGAAGCTTCTAATGTGTCTGTTCCCAAATATAAGGTGTATTAGTTTTTCGAAAAGTCAACTTTTCTATGTTTGACCAAGTTTATAGGAAAATATATTAACATTTACGATGCTAAATAACTAAAATATGAAAATATATTTCATGACGAATCTTATGGTAATGATTGGATTTTGAAAACGTTGATATTTTTCTCCATAAACTTGGTCAAAGTTAAAGAAGTTTGACTTTAAAAAAGATTAATGCACCTGATATTTTGGACTGGAGGGGGTACATTATTGGCTGAGTGGATCATCTTATATCCTAACTATCAGGAAGGCTGTTAAAGTGCTCACCTTGCTTCCAATGTGTCTAACAGCTATTGCACCGCATACAATGTTTGATAGTTTGTTGTCCATGATCTGTAGTTTGCTGTTTCTCATTGTCATCTAGAAATGGGGTTGGTTGGCTAGTCATCCAGAAGGAAATTGATAATTGCCATGTCAAATTTCATTCTCTAATGTGACAAAGGATGCTATTTTTTTTTGGTGTGTTCTTAATAACATGTCTGTAGAATGATCTAAGTTACAGATTAGGTGACAGTGGTTATTTGCATGAACTGTCCTTAGTCTGTCTTGTTGTACACGCACTCAAATGGTACAGTAAGTTGCTTTGGGCTTACAGCTTTAGGCTATGTTTGGTAGCAAAGTATTAGAAAAACTGCAGTATTGAAAACCACAATATTTTTGTCAGTGGGTACAAGATACCACAGTTTTGACATATCAAAGTATGTTGAAGTATTGAGATTACTGTGACCTGTTTGGTTGTTGCCGCAAAACACAGTATTGATGCGTTCAAACACTCAACTACCTAGCCGTTAGCAGTGCAAGCACACACCTGCTGGCCGGAGCTGATCAACATGCTCAGCTAGCTAACATACGGGCCATCCCATCAAGAGCCCGGAGGAAGAAACAACCAACTCATATGTCCCCCTCACTCCTTCCAGCCGCTAAGCCGAGCTGAGCCACCGTTCCATGCACTCGCCTCTAGCCCCCAACCCGTGCTAAAAGTACCAGGTGTAGTTTGTTGTGGTATGGTTTGAACAGGGATACCTGAATCTGAATTGTCTGAATGAAAAACAGCAAAATCACTACAGTATGATCATTAGATTTTAGACAAATCATGCGGGGTGTAGCGGCCGACGACAACAGAGCAGCCGTCTCTTTGCTTCCCCATGGTCGCCGAGGGAGATTTCTCCAAAGACGACAGGGCGGCGACGGCGTGGGAACGAGGCCAGAGCAAGTAGTGAGTTGTTGAGCAGAGTGCGGAAGGATAACGACGCTAGTCCCTTCTTTTCGCCTTCTCTGTTTTTTTAAAACAGGTCTGGGGTTCTTTTTATTATACAGAGAAAAAACTGCAGTTTGTCGAATACTACAATATTAAAACAACAGTTTTAAGCGTCAATCAAACAGCTCATTGTAAATAAAACTATGGTAATATCAAAAACTGTAGTATTCTCAAAATATTTAGAAAATACTTTGCTATCAAACGGGATGAATTTTTAGACTCCATCTATCTGAATTCATTCCAACCTCAGTATTATGGTTTAAGGTTTTGATGTTTCAACTCTCCACAAATAACAATTAATCTTCTTTTGTATGTTTCTCCTTGGGATAGGACCAAGGCATCTCAGTTCTCACTGATGCAGTTAAAGCATGCACAGCAGAGATTGAAAAACACAAGGGAAAGTTGGTAGTGAAAGAAGCACCTAGAGCTGTAAGTTTTCAGCATTGTCTAATAATTCTTCTACGTGTCCTCTATATATCGTATATATCTCCGGTATAAATGTTCTCAAAATTATATTAGCTGTTCCAGTTCATGGTTCATGAAGCTTTGTACTATTTGCATTTTGTAAACAGGTGAGTGAGAGGGAAGATAAGCTATTGAACGCCCAGTTGGATACCCTGGTTGAGCAAAATGCGGAGGTTGCTGGTGATGATGACAGTGAAGATGAGGAAGATACAGGAATGGGCGATATCGATCTCACAAATTCTGGCGTCCATGCGGACTGAATCTACATTAGTCGATTTGGATGAGATTCGTTGTATAGCATCAGCCAAGATCCTAGATCATCCTATTTAAAAGCTCTTTGAATTTGCTGGTAGTGTCATCTTAGATGTTCATCGGCCAGTGCTGGGCTTTACTTTGATTGAGAAGCACCTGTTTTTTTTTCTCTCTCTTTGGAGTGAAATATAGTTTTGTTGTTAAACAAGTGTTTTTGATGCTTAGTCTTGGCATGCAAAATGTTATCAACAGGTGTTTTTCTTTCCAGTTTTGCTGGTTGTTCTTTGTACACATGCGAAATGTTACTCCGCCCACAGGATCCAATCCTTTGTGTTTGTTATTGCTGGTTATTATTTTCACTATCATTTTCACCTCTCTTCCGTTTTTTTACGCCAGCCGCTTTGCTTCTGATGGGGATCGGCAGCAATGATGGTGCGGTGGTGCCTCTCCCTCGTATTCATTACCAAAACGTTCTGTAACATCCTGGTAGTAGTTCCCTATATATTTTGCCTATTATATTGTTTGTGCATCATGTGCATCTAGTAAGCATCATCTTGCATTAATGACTAATTTTGATTTCTTCCTTTTGTAAATGGTGAATAACCCTTCTCTTCAATGGTCTGCACCAAGACTCACCTCCAAGCCCACATTCTTTTTGTGAAATTTGGGAGCTACCAAAATTGTTTCCTGATTTTAGCACAAGCCTAGATATCACTCAGTAGTTCAAACTCACCGAAATGAGTAAGTTAAACAAAGTCCCAATAGATTGAATATCTTGTTGTGGCCTTGTTATTTTATAGAAAGGCTACGTTTAAAATTTCTTTGATTCGTAGTCGTTTGAGGCTGACACGATTAGATATGAGGGCGCTATAGCCGGATAAAGAATAAAACATTTTGCATTTAAATTTGATAATTGGGCTAGCCCTCTCCCATAAGCAGTTCATCTAGCCCACCACGGGCATCTACCCCCTGCTATAAATAGTCATCCCTCCCTGTCAATTTTAGACAACCTAGGACAGATGCAAGAAACTCTAACCCTAGCCGCAACCCACCCCACAGATCTAACCACCTCAAGCTGCCGCGGTCTGGATCCATCCTCGGAGCAGAGGCAAGACACTGGATTGTGGTGACAAGGAAAACATAGATGGCAGCGCTGGAAACCCTAGATCGCCTCCGCATCACTAGATAGAACCAGTGTATCATGAGATTTTCATCTCATACGGCTCCATGGTCAATTTTTCGAAGGGATCCTTAGCGTGTATGTGTTATGTTGTTTTGATCTACCACGTATGCTTTTTCAGCGGGAAAAAAAACTTGATTGCACGGTAACATCAATCAAAAGCATCCGTTATCGACTTCGGCCCCTACTTGATGATCTCACCTTATCAGAGTATGTTTGTGTCGGGGCATCTGATCACACAAAATGCACTACTTGCTTTTGAGTGTCTACACTTTCTTCAACATGAGAAAAATCTGGATAACAGTTTCTGTGCGTACAAGTTTGACCTCTCAAAGGCGTATGACAAGGTGGACTGGGGGTTCTTGAAGCAGGTGATGGAAAAGTTGGGCTTCTCTTATCAGTGGGTATAATGGATAATGACATGTGTAACCTCGGTGAGCTATTCAGTAAAATTTAATGGAGTCATCTTAGATTCGTTTACACCGATGCGAGGACTTCGGCAAGGTGACCCCCTATCCCACTTTTTGTTCCTATTCATTGTTGATGGGTTGTCTGCGCTGCCGAGACAGGGAGTAGGAACACAAGCTTTTCAACCAATCAAAATCTGTAATCGTGCACCAGAAATATCACATCTATTGTTTGCTGATGACACCCTTCTATTCTTCAAAGCTAATGCTGACCAACCTATTTATGTGAAAAATGTCATCCACAGATATGCGAGGGCCATGTACCAGCTCATAAACCCACAAAAGTGCTCTATTCAGTTTGGTGATAGTTACCCCTTAGTGATGCAGGCGGTGGTCGGATAGAAATTGCAGGTACAAAAATCTGAGTTAGGGAAGTACCTCGGATTGCCAACACCAGATGGTCGTATGCACAAGGGGAAATTTCAAATGTTGCAGGCGAGTTTGACCAAAAGAATAATGGCATGGGGTGACACCTTCTCGCGGCTAGGGAATGAGACTCTGATAAAATCCATCCCGCAAGCAATTCCCATTTATATTATGGGAGTGTTTAAATTGCCGTGTTCGGTTTGCAAGAACCTCACACGCTTAGTAAGGAACTTTTTTGGGGTTCAAAGCACGTGCAACGAAAGACACACAGGCGAGAATGGGAGAAAATAAATTGAACCAAAGGGCAAGCGGGGATTTGGCTTCCGTGACTTCCGCATCTTCAACCAGGCCTTATTCGCTCATCAAGCCTTGCGGCTACTCACTAGACCGGATTCCTTATGCTCTCTGCCTCTCTGGTATTGAAAGCAAAAAAATTATCCAAATGGGTCCCCTTGAGGATACGTTTTTTTTCAGGTAATGCGTCCCCAACATGCCACGTGATACAGCATGGCCTCGAGCTGCTCAAGCAGGGGCTCGTGTGGCGGGTGGGCAACGGCGAGAGCATCCGCATATGGCGGGACCCCTGGCCCTCGCATATCCTATAGGCCAATCACGGTGCGTGGCACATGCCGACTCCGGCGAGTGTCAGAACTCCTCGACGACAACGGTCGGTGGCGGGTGAATCTCCTTCAACAATTCTTCACCAACCCGGATGTGAAATACATCTTGTCAATAGAAAAAAAAACATCCGTTATCAAGCAAAGAGCAAACCGAAAAATAGCATGAGTACACCACATTGCACACACATGTGTCTTTTTTTTTTGAGGGACACACATATGTCTTTGGAAGAAAGCCCAGGATAAAGCTAGCTGGCCCGGGCCTGGGCTACTACTGCACAAGCACAACACAACCCCGGCTTTCCTTCCGGCAGGCAGTCCCGCCGTTGTCTCCTCCGCCTCCGCCGCCTTTGCCAAGCGCAGCCCACACGTCGCGGCGGACGCCACTTCTCCCATGGATGCGGACTGGACATGGGCGTGCCGGGCGTGGGAGAAGTGGACCGCGAAGCACGTCGGATCTTCCGGTCTGCCGTCCCCTTCCTTCCCCTCCCGCTTCGCTCCTCTTTCTGCTACCCCGTGTGGACTAATCCCCGTCCTCTTGCAGTTGCAGGGATGCCGGTCAAGGCGGCGCTGCTGCTCAACTACGACCCGACCGGACCATCTCGCCTCCTCCCCATCGTGTAAGCATCCTCCCCAACCACGATAACTCGGGAAATTAAATGGGGATCTCCTCGCTCATAACCACCGTTACCCATTGCAAGTTGTGGGGGCTGTATAATCTTCAGTACTGGCAGTTGCACTGGAGAATGGCGTTAATGAATTTTTCCATGCGGCCGTCCATGTTTCAGATGGAAGCTGCTCGGTCATTTTGCAGTAGTTAGTTAGTTAGCACGCTACATGACTTTGTTCGATCTGAAACTGGCACCGTATATTGGTTGATGAATTCTGCAAATGTTGTAGTTTAATGCCGTTATTATTTCCATCCATAGTCACCGCAAGATACATTGGACAAACTAAATTTAGGGATACATTGTTTGGTATGGAGGTTAATGACTGAATCACAGATGTGACCGAGATCTCAGATTTAAAGATATGCAAAATCATGTTCATTAAGATGCACGAATGTTCTTTTCGAATGATTGAAACTTCGTAATAAGATGACTGTGTGCATCAATCGGTGCAGGAGCTGGGGAGAACCCCTTTTCGAATAAATAAATATATTAAGATACATGAATGTTCAAGTTTTAGAAGTTTAAAGTCACAATTTTTTTAACTGTCCAGAGCAGAGGAAGAGGGAACAAAATTTACTGCTGTTGATCTGCAACCGTTCATTAACTTCTTCAGGAGGAACAATCTGCAGACGGAATTCTTTTCTATTGGACCAAACCAATGTGAGTCTCCCGCATTATGAGTCTAAACTTTTCTCATTTATGTACGCATAATTTGACCAAGTTAACTTTATTATCTCCAGCAATATTTTGATTGCAAATTGTACATTCTTAGATTTAGTCACTTCAATCCACGAGCACTGGTTTTGTGCTCGTTGTGTTAACACAACACAGCCAGGAGGTGAAGGAGTTATAGTTATGCAGATTGGAGCTTACTTATTAGTCTCTATGTACGTATCCCCATGTTGAACTTTTAATTTACAGAAATGAGTTATCAAGTTTCCTCTTAAGCCTTCTTTAGTATACTTCCTGGACTGTCAGAATTAATTTAATTCGCATTGGTTCTTAATGCATAGGTATGATGGTTCTGTTGGTTCGGCTTCACAGGCAATGGTGGCTGTTGATCAGTTTGCATGGCACTTCAACCGGAGAACACATTAACTTCTTGTGGTGTAGACTCATGGCCTTACAGTGTAGTGTATAACCTGACATGCTGCTTAATGTTACTGTTGTATTGTGATCCGTAGGTATGTAGTGCAATAACTAAGATTCTCTTAAATGCAGTTGAATTCAATCATATAATCTTTGCATAGTAATTTAAGATCAGTTTCTACGTATCCAGTTGTTTGCTTACATTTTGGGAATTTCGTGTATGAACTTCACACTAGTTGAGCAGTATGTGTAACTATTATAAGATTTCACAATGATAAAATGGTGAAACTGTTATTTTTTTATTAGAAATGGTAAATCAAAGCGACCTTTTGAAGTTCTTTAGTAGGGGCGCTGTGCTTCAAATATATTTGAGATCCAATTTGATATAAGCTAAACATTTTGGATATTCATTGTTGTAGTACCATGTTTGACAAGCAATTCCCTGCTGACTAAGATGATGCAACATTCATAGTAATATGTATAAGCATTTGATGAAATCTGTTGACTTGCTTTACTCTACGTATGTATGAAATTTGTAGAAGATACCATTGTACTTCTTACGGTTCCTTAAATGTTGCCGTTTTGGACATCAACATAGATTCAAACATAATTTTGAGCAATAATTTCTATTAAAACATATAGAGAAAGCCCAGCAAAACTATATATTGTAGGGAGTTAGGGCTGATTCACTGGCGGGCGAGAGCATTGATCATGAGCTCCGTGATTGGTAAATTGAGAAGGGTCAACAAGAGATTATTGGGGTAGGAATTATGAATTGGAGCGTTGGGGTTTATTTCTTTGTTAGAGTACGTAATGGGCCTAATGGCCTGGGCTGGCGGTATAGCCCGTTAATCTTAGGGTTAATTAGAGATAAGGGTCGCTTGCTTAGTGGTCAAGTAAGCCTTGCTTGGGAGTCAAGTAAACCTCTCTATATAAAGAGAGGAGATGTACCAATCTAATCAAGCAAGAATTAAGAAGGAAATCCCTTCCATCTTGCCCGGTCGTGGGCAAAAGGCCCCCGGCCGGCCCTCTCGCGCCCTCCTTCTAGCAGCGCCATAACAATTTGGTATCAGCTAGCTTCGGTTCGATCATGTCTTCACCGCCGCCCAACCCGTCTCTTCCGCTGCCGGTCACCTCGTCGCCTCCGGCGACCACCACGACCGTCGGCCCGCTCCTGCCCGCGCCGGGATCCTCCGTCGCGCCCGCCCCCGTCGTCCTCACCCGGGAGGAGGTGTCCGGGGTGCTGCGGGACCTAACACAGGCGGTCCAGGAGATCCACCTGTTCTTGGCCGGGTCCTATGAGCTGCACCGGCTGCGCCGCCCATCACCGCCACCGCGCCGCCGTGGCTGCCGCTGCACCAGGCGGCCCCCGCCGCGCTCGCCGGGCAGCCGCTGCAGCTGCCATCCACCGCCCCGTCCTGGTTGCCGTGGCAGCCGCCGCACCAGGCGGCCTCCGCCGCGCTCACCGGGCCGCTGCAGCAACTGCCATCCACCCGCCACCACCGCCCCGCCCTGGCTCCAGTGGCAACCATCGCTCCTGGCGACCTCCTCCGCGCCCGGCGCTTCGCCGCAGCAGCCGCTGCAACTGCAGCAACCATTGCCGGTCAGCTCCGGCCCCGCATCGACCGCGCCGACGGGAGTCCCGATCCACCAGATCAAGTCCCCGCCGTCGCCATCACCGCTTCCCCAGGGCGTCCCCATCCAGCAGATCAAGTTCCCGCCGTCGCCGTCACCGCTTCCAGCTTGGATCACTACCCGCCATGTGTCGGCGGCGGTGAGGCTGCAGGCTGCTGCACGCGGCCTCCTAGCGCGTCGGCGTGTGCGGGAGTTGCGTGGTCTGCAGCTGCCGCTCCTCCCAGTTGCGCTTCGCTGCGCAAAGGACCTCGATCTCGTCTGCTGCGCCGGGGATCTTGGGCATGCTGTTTTCCCCACGGACAGCGCCCTCAAAGTCCGCGACATCGGCGGTTGGGGAGGCGCACCCCTCCTCGACATTCTCCATCGACAACCTTCCACTCTTCTATGTGCGGTGCCGACCAACAACCGTCCGGCGGGGAGAAGGCATGGTGTCACCGACAAGAGCGCACCGCGTAGCACCACTGCATTCCGCCGTCGGCCGCCGCGAGGGCGCCTCTGCTGGTCGCTCTTGCGACCACTTCCAGGTGGCCATATACATGCACTCCTTTTGTCCAGATGGTGTCCATGGGATCCAGTGCGGATGGTATCCACTTTTTGTTAAGAGGTCCAAAATAAATCATCCCAGTCCATTTCAGGTTGAGGGTAATAAAACAAGCCGAGATGTAAAAGGCTTGTTTTCAGGTGTTAGGTCTGTGTTGCGTCGAGTCATGGTTATAAGTTGGTTAGGCTGCAGCTTGAGGACAAGCTGCATGTCCAGGTGGGGTGTAGTGTTAGAGTACGTAATGGGCCTAATGGCCTGGGCTGGCGGTATAGCCCGTTAATCTTAGGGTTAATTAGAGATAAGGGTCGCTTGCTTAGGGGTCAAGTAAGCCTTGCTTGGGAGTCAAGTAAACCTCTCTATATAAAGAGAGGAGATGTATCAATCTAATCAAGCAAGAATTAAGAAGGAAATCCCTTCCATCTTGCCCGGTCGTGGGCAAAAGGCCCCCGGCCGGCCCTCTCGCGCCCTCCTTCTAGCAGCGCCATAACATTCTTGCTTGAATGAAAAGACTACAATGGCTAGCACTATATATTACCTGTCCATACAATTGGGTGCGGGCTCATCCCTTGTCTCCTACTCTGACTCGGCTCTTTGCCGAACAGGACTCTTAAGTCCTGGCCCAACTTCTACTTCTTTTCTGCTGCTGCTTGCTGAATCTCAGTTGGTCTCTGCCTGAGCATAGTCCTAGTTTGACTCTTCCAGCTGTTGGCCTTGTCTCGCTGGCTGCAACTCTTTCTCAACTTACTGACGTGATTCATTGCGCAGTCTACTACTTGGAAGCCACAACAGAACAAACCCTGCTGCAATCTGTGAGTTTTGTTATTGTTATTCTGCTTGTCGCTTTCCAGCACTATCTAGGATACACTGTTCATGTCTGGTCACAAAAACAAGAGGATTTGTAGAAACAAGCAAATTGGTCCACTCTATATTGACAAAATTAATAAGAGAATCGAACTGAAGACAAGGGGAATGCGATGGCAGAGGAGTCTACTTGATAGTACTTATCATGGTACGCTTTGGCCGAACTTGTAAATTCAAAACTGAGAAAATCATTTTGATCTGTCCATGTTGTTGCAAATTATCTGTAAAGTTGGCAATTTTGGCACCTATGTCTTCATACTAGTCATAATGTATATGCCTACTCCCAAGTATCCATAACATGGTCATCATACTGCACTCGTGCACTGCTTGACATCATTGTGCGCTTTGGTCAGTTCATCTTGTTGTTCAGCGGAATTAATTTTCTTTTCTCACATCATCGCATCGTGCTGCAGCATCAGTTCATAAAGCTGTTTTTCTTTTGGCAGACCATATTTTCTCCTTGCAGTAACGCAAGTGATTGAGTATGTCTGTCACCGATAGTTGCATATGACTAAATGACTCCCCATTTCCTTGATAGTCGTGTACAAAAAAGGGGTAGTACATATGAGTGGGTATCCTCCTGGGCTGGAGTAGGTGCCTGTGTGTAAGCTTGTTTTCTATCAACGTTTCATATGGCTCTCCGATTTCTGCTCTAGTCAGTCTCGCTTACCAGCTGGTAGATACCACAGAGTTATTAATTGTCTCAAAATTGTGCCAGACGGTCTCGAATGCTTTGAAATCACGTAAGAGTTTGCCGCAGGGACCAGTTCACTTAAAAACGGAAATGTTAACGCCCACATGTATGGGCGTTAGCCAACTCACCCACACGCCTCCATTACCGTCCAGTAACTTCTGCACGAATCTTGGCACGAATTAGCTGATTTTGTATGCCACGTAGGACAACTCGCGTGTGTGGTGTGTGAGAGAGGTCGCCCACACATCCGTTTTACCACACGGAGGGGCTGGTGTGTGGGCGTTTAGTAGTTCGCCCACACACCAGTTTCAGTCGCGCACAAGGGCTGGTGTGTGGGCAGTTTGCCATCTCGCCCACACGCCCGCCTCCTCTCCCACACCTAAGCTGCCAGTTGCCATGCGTTTTGCAGTGTACATGGCAACTGCCCTAGTGTGATTGCAAGCAGATGGCAACTCTTTTTTTTTACCCGAACATGTCAGTTGCCATATGTTTGGCATGGTACATGGCAAACTGCCCTAGCGTGCACGTAAGCAGATGACAACTCTTTCTTTTTTAAATGGCAACTGCCTTAGCGTGCTTGTGAGCACATGGCAACTCTCTCTTTTTACCCGAACGTTTTTTGCCATGCCTTTTTTTTGTAGCGCTACATGGCAACTACCTAGTGTTAGTAGGTGGCAACTCCTAAAGTTTTGAAATCATGGCAACTGCAGTAGACCAGACCACACATGGCAACAACTGTAGTTGTCCAAAAAATGGCAATCTGGAACTTTGACTTGAGATGGCAACTGCAGTTGAGCAAACATGGCAACTGTAGTTGTCCGACATGGCAACCGTAGTTCAGCGACATGGCAACTGCACTTAAACGAACATGGACGAGGGTCCGGCCCATGGCAACTGCGGGGCGCACGGTAAAGTGTCACGTGGGGCGTGCGGGCCTGACGTACCGGGCGTGTGGGCGTTATCTATTTCGCCTACACGCACGCGTGTAAGAGGGATCGGGAGGGAAAAAAGAGGCGTGTGGGCGCTAGTTGTTTTGCCCACACACAGACGTGTGGGCTGGTCCTCTTAGGCACCAGACAAAACGTGTGGGCAGATTTCTTAACACCCACACGTGTAGCAGTTAGCGGCGTCCCTTAAAAATGGGTCAAGTTTTAAGTTCAAAAAAAGGGGTCATGTTTTAAGTTCAAAAAATGGGTCATGTTTGTGATAATTAAAGTTTATAGTATTGTTTAAGAAATAAATAAAATATTTCATAGATGTTCCCTGACAAATACAACATGAGACAAACATTAGAATGGCTCGAAGGTGTTGTAGACCCTGT